AGGAGAGTGTGGGATTAGACCTCAGGAGGAAGCTCCCAAGGGAGTATTTGGGTTGCCACCTTCTGTGAAGGGTCATATGTGACCCCAGCCTACAGCAAGAGGGATAGGATTGATACATAAGCCAGACAGATAGCCCCTGGCCCAGAAAAATGGGGGCTTATGTCCTTGGGGTTATTCACATCCCTGTGTGGTTATTCACATCCTTAGACAAGTCTGTGCTTCAGGACTGTGTTGCGGTGTGGACGTGGGTTACCTGTATACACAGATGTGTGCACGGGGATGTTCACACAGACCTGGAGGGCAGAGGAGGAAAAGGAGCTTCCAGAAAGGGGTGGGGGCTTTGTGTGACGGTGGTCTAGACCCAGTTTCTCTGCCACATGCACACTGTCCTGGTCACACCAGCAGAAACACGACCCCTGGCTGCTGCAGTGGCTCCATGTGCCCTTCTCAGCAATGGTCTCAGCAGATAGAGCTTCCACTGATAGCCCCCGCTCCTTTGTGGGGGGCGCTGGGAAGGGGTCAAGTTCAAGGCCCCGATTCTGAGTCATTTCCCTGTCCTGAGAACCTGGAACAGACCTCAGCGTTGAGTAAGTCTGGAAGATGCCTACTTTGACGCAGATGACACCTCCCCGGGCATAGCCTTTGTCATCTCTGTGACTCATGTCAGCTCTGCTAAGTTAGGATCATTTTTCCATTTGGAAGAAGAGAAAACTGAGGCTTACGGTCACACAGTTAGTGAGGGATCCAGATCTGTGTGACCCGAGAGACTAAACTCTGTCTGGCTTGTCACATGAGAAATGGAAACGCTGTTTTACTGGCAGGCATAGATTAAGGGTCACAGACTGCAGGCCCTGTGAGGGAAGCCTCTCTGCTTGCCCTTTCACCATTCAGTTGCTTAAAAAATATTATCTCTGTTTGTAATATACCCACTTTGTTAGTACCACATGCCGGGGGTCCAGCTACAAATAGATGAGCAAGGTCCCTGTCTTCCTGGAACTCACAGTCCAGGCAGTAAAGAGGTGACATGCATGTAAATAAACAACCTGTTTACAGAGTAATGAGTAGTACCAAGGAAATACAACAAGGGCATGAGATGGTAGGGGTGGACGCAGGGCTGTTTTAGAAGTGTTGTCACAGAAGACTTCCTGGAGGAGGTGATACTGGACTGAGGTCTTCCCAACAAGGGACAGCAACAGTGGGAATTGCTGGGGGAAGGGTTTAGGCTTTGGAGTTTTCCAAGAACAGAAAGGATAATTAAGTGACTGACTGGGATGGCATGTGGGTTGGGGTAGGGGCATGGAGATGGGTTGGAGAAGCTGGTTGGGGCCCAAGCATGCAGAGCCTGGGAGGCCACAGTGCTGGTGTGATGGGCTTAAGAAGAGGCACTCTGATTTTCATGAGAAAGAGATGGCTCCGTGGGCTCCAGGAAAGTGGATTAGGGTGGAGGAGGTAGGAGGGGGAGCCTAGGAGTTAAGTCAGGGAGACGCCAAGTACTGGACAGTGGTGACTTGGACTCTGGTGTTGGCAGTGAGCATGGGACAAGTACATAGATCGGGGATATTTTTGGAGATAGAAGCACCCTGATAAACTTGCTGAGGGACTGAACCCCAGTGCCTAGAACATAGCAAATACTCAATAAATATTTGTTGAATGAATGAAAAAAAGGAACCTTGTTAGTACCATGCTCTGTAAACACTTGTGTTCACCCTCCAGTAGGAGATGTATGTGTGAGGATTACCCAGGCCCCTAAAGGGCTTCCTCATCTACCCTAGAGGCCAGAGCTAGAAAATGTAGGCATTGTCCAAATGGGCTACACATAAACCAGACTCACCCTCTAGGAAGATTTGGCTAGGGATCAACTAATCTTCCCTTTTCTCTCCTATCTATAGCACCAAGAAAATGACAAGCACCCAGCCCAGAGTGCCCCAGGCTCGTCGCCCACTTGGCGTCTGCAGTGGGAAGGAGGAAATGAGATGTGCAGGACTTCTTGTAGGTGAGGAGGGCTCCCTTTCTAGGATAGCTTTCCAGGATCCATGCCATGCAGACAGGTGCGGTATTGGTCATATGAGCTCTGGGGCTGGTCTTGGTGAGAAGGTTGTCACATATATTTGGGTGTCTTGGGTATGGGTGTGGGACCAGAAGGAGATTTTGTCCGCAGAGTTTGGGTGGTTCTGGAGTGTCTGGCTCAGTGGCAGTGGCAAGCACAGGCTGAGTGAGGGGTACTCCTAGGTCCCTCAGGCTGGAAGCAAACCTGCCTAGGCTCTGGGCCAAATAAATCATTGAGAAGGGAAGAAGAACATTTTCTCATCTGTTTAAAGGGCAACGAAGCATAGCGGCGCTGGCCCAGTGGGAGGCAAGGCTGAGGCCAGGCGGGAGAGGCCAGGGGCGCTCTCTCTTCAACCCGCCATCTTCTCATAAGCCACCCCATCGGCTTGGGCTTTGCCAGCTGTGCCGTCCACAACTGGGCCATGGGTGGTTGTTACTTTTAACAAAAATATTAATTAATTTGTAATAAGATAGTTAGTTTTAAAGGCCTCTTCCCAGGGCATAGACCCTGGTAATCCATACCTTTTATCTTCTGGGAGGCCAGACTGAGGTGGTTTTCACCCTTTCAGAGATAAGGAAACAGGCCCAGAAAGCTCAAGGGACTTTCTCAAGGTCACAGAGCATGACTGTGTGAGAGCAGGGTATGGAGCCTGGCCTCTAGCTGCCCCTGGGGTGTTGGTCCCTTCCATCCTATCAGTGGCTCCAGAGTGGGTCCCAGTGGAGCTGTAGGGCTGGAGTCACTGTCCTTTGTCCAGTGTGTCAGGGTACCGGGGTATGTCCCTCTACTCTGCCCAAGCCCTGTGTGCCCAAGTGTGGCTGACACCCCTTCCCATACCCAATCTCTTCCCTGGAGGCCCCTCCTGGGGCTAAGACTTGTTCTTCCCACCCCCGCCTGGGCTGTTCAGAGAAGTAATTTCTCTTCAACCAGCTGGATTTGAATATGGAAACGATTTGTAATTACTCCAAGTCCTCCCGGGCGGGCTGGCGGGCGGTATTATCACCAGTGTGAGTCTGGAAGGGCAGGGGCTCCTGGGAAAGGAGGTGGGGAAACCCTACTGCAGGGAAGCACCTCCAGGGAGAACCTGCCAGAAGTCTGCTCTCGCCCAGCCTGCTCCTACACAACCCCTCTGTTCTGCTGCCCTCCCCAGCCTATCTTGTGAGCCCCCAGGGGGCTGGGGTATCCTACTGTGTCCCACCACTTGTCTTTCCTAGGGCATATATTATTGCGGCTAAATGAGTGAGCTCAAGAAGTCAGAGGGCTACCAAGGAACAGGGAGGCAGACAAAAATGCTCTCTTTCTGGACGCAGCCCCTGCCATCACCCCGGACCCAGCTGGATCCCTGGAGAGGGGGTGGGGAGAGGAGGAGGGCTTTAGGGATCCAGCTGCATCACATCTGCAAAAGACCTGCCTAGGCTTCTCTGGGCTCTGGGTCTCTAATATGCAAATGTTCATATGAATATTCATAAAGAGGCAACCAGTCTCCCTGTAGGAAAGGAAGGGGCTGGAGCTATGGAGGACAGGGTCCTGGAGACTTCTAAGGGTTTGTGGGCAACCTCTGTCTTGATCCATTTCCCCACTTTTACCCCAGGAAGCCCCAGTCCCCTCAACCCCACTGCCTCTTACAGCGTCCAAGTAAGCAGGGGCTCAGGATCTCCCGCTGTACCGGGGTGGCTCTCAACACATTTCACAGATGGCAAGGTTTGCCTGGCTCCGCTTCCACAGTGGCGGCTGAGCCTTCAAACCCAGAGATGCCAGGGTATATTTGAGGGTGCCCAGCAAGAATCCAAGAGCCCTGCCTGCCTGTGCTCTGTCCAAGGCATTGGCCTCTTTGGGCTCCTGCAGGGAAAAGGAAGGTGCCCGCCCAGCCCTCCTCCCTGCTTCACACAGCCTCATAAATCCCCTTAAGGTGACAGGTGAGATTCCTTCATCGCCCCTTATTACCTCCTTCCATTAAAGTCGATAATCTCTCACAATCACTCACAACAAATGTCACTGTGACTGCTGAGGGGGAGGGACGGAAGGAAGGAACGGGTGGTTCTCTTTGCCTCTTTCTGGTCTGCCCCTGGGGATAGGTGGGTTTTTCTCATTTTGTCTCCATCTCTAGGGTGACAAAACTCAAGAAGTATCAGTGGAAAGGTGGTGTAGGGCCTGAATGGATTGAGGACTTCCTTGCTCACACAGGATTTGCCCACTCCTAGCTAGAGAGCTTTCAGAAAGTAGGCCCTGAAAGCATCCCACCCTCATTGCAAAGCTGCCCCCTGCTGGCTTCTTCTTTGACCAGAACCCTTGGATTAACCTACTTGTTTTGGCTGTGGTGTTGTGTCCCCAGTCTGTCCACCTTTCTGGCCACATGCCCAGGCCACAAACCACCTGACCAGGCCCCTGACCCATAGGCATCTCCCTGGGTATCATCTGAACCACGTGGACCCAGACCCCACCCAACTGTTCCTGGGCACAGTGCCAGAATGGGGAAGGGGTGGGTCTGAGCATCTCTGATCTTCCACACAAACAGATGCAACATGGGGGCGCCCCTTGGCACAGGGAAAGGCACTTGTGGGAATAGGTAGGAACTCAGGAAAACATGTAACACACTGTACACGTGTAGCATCCGCGTGCCGAGGGACATGCAACATTGCAGCGTTTTCATCACATTATGCACCAAACATGTTACACTGCAGTGTACATATGTAGCTCCTACATAGGAGTTACCCATAGCACTCGGCACACATGTGGCACCTGTGAGCTTGTACATATATACCATCCCTACGCACGGGAGCAAGCAGCATGCATTCACGATCCGGGCACATGTTAATGCACTGTGCATATGTGTAGCACTTGCATGCATGAGCCAGGCAACATTGCAGTGCACATGTAGGGCACCTGTATGCATATGCAAAGTTCATTGCACATGAGTGGCACCTGGATGCACAGGGACATGCAATATGCAACGTACATGGGGCCGAGGGAGCAAATGCTTCAACCTCCAGAGCCCGGGAGAACCTGGCTGCGCGAGATGTTTCTGGCCTGGGGTATTGCTGGAGGGGCGTCGCGGATCGTCTCACTCTGCGATGCAGGAGGCCACGAGACGGGCGGGGGCTTACCCGGGGCTTCTCCCGCGCCGGCGCCTGGGGCCCAAGGCGGGGAGGGGGAGGGCGCGCTTGGCTTGGCTGGCGCTGCTCCCCCTTTAACAGGAGGCG